TAACATATATAGTGTTCCAGATATTCAAGTTTTTTTAATGGAAAGATCGATTTTCATAATCTTCCCACAAACAAGGTTCTGAAACGAAGACTAAAACTTGTCAGTAACGAAATCATGGCCGAGATTACCGAGACCGAGATTTGGGTCTCGGTACACCCCTAGCTGGGAGCAAAGAATTAAAAATTCGGTGTTTAAATCCGCTTTAGAGGTACTTCGAAGCTACTGCTAAACGATGTTAGCGACACTTCTATTAAATCTTACTCAACTATCAGTCGGATTTCACTGTACTGTACACCCTAAGTAGTATACATTTTATTGGATTTGGACGAAAAAGATATAATTAGAATGGGGGCGAACTGACATTGTATTGGAGCAGTATGGAATTTGAGTTCCAATAGAGTGTTACTTGCTATACAGATTAATCGAACTATTTTTGAGACTTTCGTTTGCCGTTTTCCAGTGATGTTGAATTCTCTTTGAACTCAATATGATAGGTTTGTCTAGAACGTTCTCTCAAAATATTTGTTTTTCTTGAAAAAGCTATTCTGAGATAACTTTTAAGACAACCTCTCATAGTGCAGGATCAACGGATGAAAATATAGAAATCACACAGGAATGTAAAGTAAACAATCCTTAAGTAGAGAAATGTGAGAAAGTCTAATAGTCAGAATCCTTGATGCTTTCAATCAACAAAGTGCGTTTATCTCCCCATTTTTTTGCTATTTGTTTGATTTACCAAGGAGTCTCATCGCTCATGTCCCATATTCATATAATGAGAGAGTATGGTTCGTTAGATTACCAAATATTTTTATCCAAGTCCAGGACAAGCAATCCTTGCGGCCGGATCCCGATCCGGATATCATCGGATTTTGTCGGAATCCGACAAAATCTGGCAAAATCTGGACGAATCCGGCACGGGTTCTGTCGGATCCGGAGGTCGGAATCCGACCGCAAAGATTTTGGTAGTTTCCGACAGAAACCGACCGGAATTTGTCCCCGTCCGACAAGATCCGACACCACCAACTTGACCTGGCAGGACTCTTCACTCGAAAGTATGACACCATTATATAATGCAGTCCATCACTACTAGAAATCTCAATGTTCCGATAATTATCTCTATAGGATTAAACATGTCGTAGTGTTCTTGACGTACGCACGCGACTCATTGAGGCGCAGAAAGAAGAGCCTAAGTAGTGTTTATCTCTGTCCATCTAGTGGCTGAATACTTCCATGTAATAATCTTGCGATTATCTTGCAATCTTTCGTTTTTTCTCTTTCACCTCGAAATCTGAAGGGAAGCGGAGAAATGCAATTTCACTATGAACTCATCAGTTTATACAGCACTGCACTAAATTTGACCGGTTTACTGTTCAGATCATGTCCGCTACGTTTCGGACCTGTCCCACAGAAACGGTCGACTTTTTCAATCGACTCGAGTTCTGATTAGATTGTATCAGAAATATGAGCATTTTAAGACTGATAAAGATGATCAAAAATCAGTTGTCTTGGGCTTGGAGAGTGTTACAAGAGGCTCACAAGTTGCAAAGTAATAATCCCTATCAATATTATTGTGAAAGGCGTGAAGTTTGCATTGACGAACGACAAAAACACTTTAGGGGGTTATCAGTGCTTGTAAGGGGATCACTACTTATTTCTATGTTTGATCTACCTAATCGATCATCATAACTGAAGAACGATGGAAAAAAATCAGGAAAATCGGGAAAAATAGGTGAAATCAGGACGAATCAGGACACTCTTGCAAAAATCAGGAAAAAATCAGGAAAGTAGTGCCGCTGCGACCACTGCATCAGCTACACCCACATCCACACTTTGAACTGCATAAAAGGCTACGAATTCATTCTCGACATTGTCAGGCATCCATCGATATTCAATGTTGTTTTTTTTTGTTAATGAATTTTTAGTCTGATGATCTGACATCTGTAGTCAATGAAGAAGCAAATTCAAGTCCTCCAGAATCTCAATCAACATCATCATTATCGGCAACAACATCGTCAGAAATTGCTGTATCATCTCAAACACTAACACCAATAAACAATGATGAAAAATATCAAGCATCACTAAAACAACGTTTGCATTATGATCGTCATGAACTTTTAAGTATTCGTGATAAATTATCACCATTTCCAATCCCAGAAAATCTTCCACTTCTTGATATTGTTATTAATCGTCATGGCGATAATCGTCCTCCATATACGGGTACAAGTAACCCAAGGAGTATGAATCCTACATTTCATCGACAATCATTCTCAAGTTCTCGTCCATCATCAACACATAAAAATAATCCAAAGCGTTCAAATGATTCAGGACATAAATCAGTTACCAATGTATTCCATGAACCTGTTGTAGGTAATCGAGTTGAAAATTCCAACAGATCAGAAGAACCAAATCAAAATGTCCTTAATCATAAAATATTGCATAAGATTATATTAATTTTAAATGACCTTACACCACAGACATATGATAAATTACAGAAAAAAATTGAAGAATTGAACACTGATCACTATGAAATATTAGAAGGAATGATTAGCATAATTGTTTCTAAAGTAATTTTTTTTCTTTTTAACATTTTCTTAAGTAACATATTTTGTTTTCTTTTTTAATTTAGGCTGCTGATGGCCGAGAATTTGGTTCTCTTTATGTAAGATTATGTGAAAATTTTCAAAAAGTATATTTTTTTATATCTTTTAGTAATTAGTTTATACTCTGTTTTGTCTTTTAATTTTAGAAAGAAGTCATTTTATCAAGTGAAGGTGGTAATACAATAACATATAATTTTTGTCAAATATTATTAAATTGTTGTCAAAAAAAACTCGAGAATAATAATAAACAAGAAATTGAATGTGAACAACAAAAAGCTGCAGTTGACGCTATTGGAAATAAAAGACAACATAAAGAAGAAGCAGACAAGTTAGATGAAGATCTTATTGAAGCTAAAAGAAGAAAATTAAGAATTATTTCGTAAGTATTATTAACTAAAACAAAAGCCAACATAGTCTGAATAATAGAATACATCGGATAGAATCATCCCGATGAGGATTAAAAACTAATTATAACGTGACTCGAAATGATCTGAGATATGTATTAGACGAATAATACAAATAGAATAGAAAAGAGAATCTTATAAATTGAGAACAGTCGCCATGGAGATTTCATTTCCGATCTGCATTCACAATATTTTCAATAAAAAATTGTTTAATTCGTTTTGATAGTTGCTTCAAACAGACGAATACTTTTTCGGCAACTACGATGACTTATGCATTTCTCAGAATATCTTGATCATGAGATTATATAAGAATTTAGATATAATTGACTGTTATGTGTATATTCGCAACTTTCATGTTCGACTTAATTGGCTCTAGTTTTGAAATAAAATAAAAAGAAGTAAAGGATAGATTTAGAAAGTTAGCTATAAAGTTAACTCGCAAAAAATTACGATAGCGGGTTTTGATCCCATACAAGAGCTTATTTAAAAATCGATTCATCAGATTTCGTTAATGAATAATAAACATTTTTATTTAGTTCTCAAATAGATTTGACTATGGTGTTTTGCTTTGAGAGTGTAAGATTAAGTTTTTTAGACATCGTAATAGTGTATTGAGTCATAAAATGTGGGCTCCAGTAGAGTTGGTCAATCTTTGTGGAACTAGGAGCTGAACCAAATTGTATTGTACTTTGATACATTTAGTGAAATTTTCTAATCGGACTCGGATAATTATTTCGAAAGACTAGGCTTGGATGAGATCCAATTGGCTCTATCCTGTAACTAATTGTTTTAGTATTCACGATCATAGTCTTGTTAAATGTTTGTCTCGAATTAGAGAAACCATTTGAGAATTGATTTCTATGAAATTTTAAAATCTTAAATACTCGTATTTAGTTTAATCTAGATACTTTTTGTGATCATCTCTACTAAATTTTGTTTTGATTTAAAACATAGTTCGTTCAAAATTTTTTCGCTCTTGTTCAAACTCGATAATAAAACTAACACGTCTAGTTCAACTATGATGAATGGCAGTAGACCATTGTTTACTATCAATTTATGTTCGAAATTAAAGATATTAATTGTAATATATTATGATGATATTGAAAAACTAAATGTTTTAAATTCATTTATCGTTCACGTTGAGCCATAGAAATTTTCAACTCAACATTTTGTATAGATCATATTTTATATTGCAGAAACGTTTATATTGAAACGTTCGGCATATTATAATAACGATGAGAATAGTTAATTTTTTATTTGCATTTTCATAATTATAATACGACATTGAATATTTTGTGGGTTTTGTTTTGTAATATTTGGTGAAATATTTATATTTGAAGATTTTAATAGGATATTGTCAAATGAATGTTAACTTTTTATTTTATTTGAATACTGATGTAAATCTATAATCAATTGTTTTCTACCTTAGCCTTCATACAATAGAAAAAGAAAAAAGAATTTTTATTCATTTTAGTTTTATTGGTGATTTGTTTTCGTTACGCATGTTACCTGATACTATCGTATATGAGTGTATTGAATGTTTACTTCGTGATAAAACTGATGAAGAAAGTCTTGAACATTTATGTCATCTTTTGCATAGTATTGGTAAAGAACTTGATAGCAAAGCTGATGAAACAGTACGTTTATTTGAATAAATTATTTCTATTTAACTTCTATCTGGGATGTTTGTTTTTGCAGCCTACACATAAATCAAATTTGGAAAAATATTATCGTAAGTTATATACTATTTTTCAAGAACAGAAAATATCAACACATATTCGTTCCATGATTCACGATCTTATCAATTTAAGACAAGTAAATAAAAGAGTAAAGTCTAATAAGTGAATTTCCGACAAATAATAAATTAGTTTTCAATTGAGTCTAGACAATAAAATTTTCAAGAAAATAATGTAATCAATTTTCAAATTGAAATTTTTCATGAATTCAATTTTCAATAAAACGAATGACAGTATCAGATTGTCTAATATCTCATATACTGAGATATAAATATAACAACAACAACAACAAAAATCAGAAATTTTTCACGTCATGACGAGATATATGTAGCTGTAGAGCATTTATTAGATCAATAACCCTATTACCAGCATTTCATTGGTACTTTTTTTTGGTGCCATTTTGAGAGTCGTCTCAGCACATGGACACTTACCAAATAACCATCCAGTTTCTACAGCAATCCATGAAAAATTTCTCAATGAGTTAACAGATTGAAACATTAAATACCCAAATACTAGAAAAACTCTACAAAATTGTTCAAAGACTATTGTGTCATGCTGCTAGCACAGTGCTCTCAACTCAGCACATTTACTATTATTTCTTTGAAAATATAATGTTTGCCATGTTTTTTTGAATAACCCTCGACCATTCAAAGCTATCGAGGTCGGGTATTCGCCATTTGATAGAGCAAGTCAGGAGACGTCTCTCTATGTAAAACTCATGATGATCGAAGAAGTTTTTCGCAACAATTTTCAGGTGGATGCCTTGTTTGTTGTCGTTTCTCATTGCTTTTTAAAGCCACTTACACTTAAACAATACCAAAGAATATCTCGAGAAGTTCTATATTCATAATGAAATTTTCAAAACTCTTTCATTTTCGTGAAGTTATCCTTCAAATTAATGATATCAAAACTCTAAAATTTCGTGACGAATATACTACTTGTTAACTGACCATCAATGTGATTTGAGTGTAGCTCGCTGAAAAAACTAGTGAAAGCTGTTAATAAAATAAGACATCGATTTGAAAACTACTACAAAGAAATTCTTCGACTATAATTAATGGCGTATATATAGACGTCTGCGGTTTATTCTATCAAATAGCACAAGCCTGATCTCGATAGTTTTGAACTGTCGATAGTTGTTCAAAAACCAACGGAGGACATTACATTTTGAAACAGAACAATAGGCTGATTTGTAGAGGAAGAATGGCTCTATCTGATGGTTAATATACTCACTATAATCCCTCTTCGGACTTCAATAGACGGTGTTATATTCGACACATAGAGGATACAAATGTGACGTCACCCGTTAATATCTTTTCAGTAATATTGATATTACATTCATTACTACATAGAGCAGTTCTCGCACACTCTCTCTATTTCTCTCCTTACAAACTTGCATATATCTAATTTTTGAGTGAACAAATTGTAGTCTTTGATTATTGCTGAATTCATGTCTCACAATAAAAGATGTCAGACAATCTGATGCCAATGACAAAGTCAGGATTTGGAGTTAGGGTGGTTACCCTCTTGGTTCTGTCACTGTCTGATATTTTCACTAATTATACAAGGTCGACTATGAAAGTGGCTTAAGACCAACAAGATATTTTTGTGACAAATATATGAAAGAAGACTAACTTGTGCACACGAATTTGCAAAGACTATTTCTAATCGAACCATTTTAATGCAATTAAACTGATCTGATACGTGATGTCCTATTTCATGAGTCTTGAACGAGTTTATTTTTAAAAACATCACATTAGGCTTCATGGACAACTATTCATGCTGAAGCCAAGCCAACAACAATATATGATAGTCATGAACAAGAGCGTTTAAAACTTGACCAGGAGCGTGGACCACAACAAAGCCGTGCCACTGTTATTAATAGTACCTATAGCAAAGATAATCGACTACAGTATAATGATGGATGTGGCAGTCGTGATAGTCGAATAAAACAACAATCGAATAGACATGAAGAAGACAAGGTAGAAAATCATTTTAATGTTAATAGTGTCAGACAATTACAGTCAAATGATAAGCAAAATCAAAGATCATTTGTAAGATAATCTTTTATCCCAGTTTATTAATGATAAAAATGATTTTGCTTGTAGTCAATGCGTTTATCACCACAATATACTTGGAGAAAAGGATCAGACATTGAAAAGAGACTTGAAGAAGATCGATCATTAACCGAACGGTAAGAAAATGAACTAAACTCTCCTGTCAAGTACTGCACAGGTACACATTTTTGTACCCGTACCCTACCCATCTCCTGCTCATATATGTTAGGTTCTTACCAGGGCCTCTATTCGCACATCAATATCTACATTTGACCTTTTTCGCATTATATAACCTCAACCGTAGTTTAGAATATGATATCAGTATGTTATTTAGTTTGATTAAACAAAAATGAAATAACAATATTTCTATGACTATCACAAACAGCGACGAACAAATTAGAGTACGATTCGGGTACTATTTTTCGTAGGCATATCCGTACCGGTCAATTTCGTACCCGAACCGTGGGCTACAGTACTCTAATCTCCTGCTTGAGAATTCCTACTGTCATCTTTCGTGAAAGAATAAATGCAAATGATATATTCATTACTCTATTTCATTACAAAAATCGAACAAAACTGATACTTGTTAAAACAGCTTTGACACTGTCAAAGCTAAATGTTCGAAATGAATACTCATTCTGAGCTATGCTTTTGTGAAAATCAAATACATTTTTCAAGAAAATATTGAGCTCAAGTATTAAGCCTAGGGTTTACGGCTTTCAAAGACCTAAGAAAGCGAGAGCTGAGAGTTACTGAATACAATTCTTCTCCTAGCGTCTGAGAAAGGCTCTGAACGGTGCTAACAATTGATTTATATCTGTACTAGAACATTTTAAGTCCTTCTTTGGCATTCAAATAGGTGTAGTGCGCTTAATGACTACACAAATGAGTATTTCGAATAAAATCTTGCTGAAAAAGCATAGAATATGGACAAAATCTGCTTTTGTCGTTGAAGAAATCAGAAAGATTTTCATTATCAAGTGGCGTACACTCCCTCCACTCGGGCAGTGACTGAGTACGCTTATAAATATGTTAAACAGTGCACTTTTTGCGCAGATAAAAAAAATCCTTTTCAAGATGTCAAAGACGTTGATTAGTTATGGATTAATTTTTCATAATGACCAGATGATTATTACAAAAAAGTAACGCTGTCTGAATGATTCCGTCAAATAAAAATATGAAAATATAATCGAATTACTTTAGTTATAAAACAAGAAGAATTACTAGCTTGTGTCCAACTTTTGGATTTTTAGTACTGAGAAATCACCTGTTGGCTCGATTCAACAACTCAAAAGTGAAATTCCATTGAATGTATCATTTAATAAAGAAAAAATTGAAGCTCATGTACATTCGTTGATTAAAGAATATACTGAAAATTATTCCGAATCAACTGATCAACCTGTTAAAGTAAATGTCAATAATAAAATTGAAAAGTTTTTATTTTTTTTAAATCGAATAGAAAGTATTGGAAGATTTATCTGCATTTCGTACGGCGAGAATCGATCAACAAGTTATGTTTGTTCGAGAATTATTTACTAATGGTTTACAAGCTAAACAAGATGATCGTAAAGCTGTAGGACGTTTACTTGATGCTGCACTTAATAGAGGGATTTTATTTACTAATACATTTCTTTCTGGGTATGACCTTTTTTAATAAATTTACTGTCCCAAATAAAAACTTAAAAGTTCTTTTTCTAGTTTTAAACTGATTGTTGATGCTGCGCCAGATTATGTCATTGGCATTCCTTTAATTTGGCAATATATTAGTGAAGTTATTGGTAGGTTCAAATCAAATTTTGTTTTGAAATATTTTGTATTTTTTAAGGCGCATTTATCGCTGCTTCGACTTCAAATATGGCACTACTTAAATCTATATTAGATTGTGTTCCTGACAATAAATCGAAACAATTATTTCAATGTATTATTCGATACGCAACTGAATTTTCGGTAAAAAAGATAACGCTTTTATTTTATGAATTCTAATTTAATGTTTTATAGTACAACTTATATAAGAGTATTTCGCCCTTTTATATTGACTAATTTAGACTCGAAGAGGATCTAATCGATCAGTTTGAAATTTTTACCATAGAAAAAAGACACTTGGAGTACGACGGCATGTATTCGAGTAAAAATCATCAAGAGGTCTTTCGAGAAAAACTTTAGTCTTGTATTGGATCGCATCATGACATAATGCGCTGTCCGATTTAACTTTATCTGAAGATTTTTTTTGAAGATATCTCATAGAGCCATTTTCGAAAATCTACTTTAGGATTTATGAGGGAAACATATAAAGATTCAGAGCCGAAAACGAGATTCTAACTTTTAAAATCCGATAATGAAAATGGTTGATTTTAAATCAGAACCATACCTCCAAGTATCTGTGGAAAAATTTTCAATTCGATGCAATAAAGTTGAAGAAAGATTATTAGAAATATTTCTTTGACGTACTTGTTTTTTTTTAAGCAGCAACGAATATCTACATGATAACAGAGGCACGGGTACGATCAGCATGTGTCAAGGCATATAAATTGTCTCTCTGTAAGAAACATTGCAAATTTAAAAAAATGTCTTAAATTCATGTCCAAGTCCAAAAAGAGGGTATATGTACTCTTTACCATCTGGTCTTAGAAGTTTTCCGAAAATTTTCGTTTTTCCCAAATGAAGTTCAAAGTACTGGTTTTTGCTCATGGATTTTAAAAAGAAATCTTCTAATTTTCAATCCTGATGGTTTCGAAACACTACCGTTTGACTTTAGTTTGAAAAACATTAAAGATGGTCATAATTTCAACGAATCAACCTTAATTTTGTCCTAGTCCTATTTGTTACATGCATTTTAAAACAAAACTCATACTATGAGAAACTTTTTAAAAAATTGACAGTGACGCGACAAGTATCATAACATATACTTTTTAATTAAGAATTGTGCTTTAGACTTTTACTTAGAACACTTTGCTCAAATGCCTGTATATCTAGTACCAGTATACTGAAGTAATATTCTGAACTCTCAGTATACATGTTGTGCTTAAACTAGTACTTAGATATCTGATTTAGTAGGCGAGTGTGAATGTAAATATTGATATGGACACAAACAAGAATCACCCATACCAATCTGCAATCACATTTCAAATTCGAATATAAATAGAAAGTTCATGGAAATATTTCATTATATTAACATCTACATCAATAATCACGACTGAAAAAACAACACTAGTATTCAAACATATTTTTACTCATTATCAGTATCTAAGCAAATGCCAGAGAGATCGAAATAAACCAAGTTTTGTTGGTTCGGACTCGGTTTGGTTCGTGTTTTCGGTGCACACTTGAAGTGACACATTTGAATATACATTTCAAGATTTTGTTTTAAACGAAAAATAGATATTAGGCATTACAAAGCCTTAGAACATTCCCAAAATGCTAATAACTGAAACGCTTTAAGGACTTTCGAAACTTTGAATATCTATTTTCAGTTTGAAAAAAAAACTTTTAAAAGAATGTTGACGGACAAGTGATAGAAATAATCATATCAATGAATTACATATCACTAAATCGATTAGTTGAGAAAGAACCTCTATTGATATCAGAATCAATTCAGTCGATTAAATTCTTAGACCAACCATCTACTTCTTGAGGCACAAAATACTGATCTTACCGATAGTTCTTCGATCTCACCTATGATAGTAGAACTTAATCAGAAATTTGAACAATCGATATCCTACATGGAGATGCACTAACCTATACATATATGTGTAGACTAACAGTAATAAAAAGTAAAGGGTGTTGATGTAAATGTTGGAGTATGTCCCAGTGAGACAAGACTTTAAAAAAGACGCGTTAAAACCCGTTCAAATTTCGTCCGAACGGCGTTTTGATGCGTTACAACATCTAAGCGTAGTTTTTTTGTAGATTCACGCGTTCTTTTCTTAACGAGCTTTATTAAGTGCAGCATCCACTCGTTATATCTTGTTTTTATCTGAAGCAATTAAGCTCGTTTAAACGAATGAGTCGCTTGAGATTAGTACAAATGCATAATTTTTTGTTGGATAAGTTGTACTTATTTAAAACGCCTGTTATCTTTGGAGACTTTTAATACGAATGCAAGATCGTTGTTCCAGAATCATAAAAACGATGAGATCCGTCTTACACAAGTCGGACTTCTCTTGGTCCTTTACAGGTTAGAGTAAGCCAACGCACATTATTCACGGTTTTACATTCTTATAAATTCTTTTGCCTGAAATGTAAATTTGATTCTCATGAACTTATGTAGTGCATTTGTTCACATTGCGCTCAATTTTATCGAGCTCAAACGTCTTCTATTTGGCCCATGTCGAATAGAAACTATGCAAGTGTTTTATTCTTGTGTTCATTTTTACTTATATATTATTCAGAAAATCTTTATCATTCGATGATATAGACCTATCTGTAATATAATTACTGTTTTTACCAAATTCAACATCTGCTGTTGTAGAATTTAACGGTTGAGATTTTTCTGAACAATTTCAGTTCTTCTATTATCTTTTAGGCATTGATAAGTATTGAAAAGCGTATAGGATTATACTATTGAGAAATGATGAACAGCAAACATAGAATTGCTTACATAAAGGATGAGTCAAAAGTTTTGGTACTTCGCAGAAAAATTCCATTTTCTCCTTGATAAGATTAGAAAATTCTCGAAATTGGACAGATATTCAATCAGTTCTAGATGATTACTATCCTAAATTTTCATAATTATAACTCAAGTTATAGCGAAGATACATAACTTCGAACCTAAAGAAAATTCTTTTTCGCATGACGTGATCTTGTTTTGACTGATGAAACCTCTGGAAAAACTGATTTTCATCATAAATACAATACCAAATGATACAATAATTCACACTTTTACTCGGTTTTATAGTCCTTTTTCTGATTGAATAACCTTTTGTCTTGACCAAAGATTCTAATCTTTTCGGCATTAAACTGATCCATTTTGAGCACATATCTGGGATGATGGTGGTCCAGATAGTCAGAATTTCTTTTCTAAGATTCTCGTGCTCTCTGGACATTGAGACCCAGTAAAATTGACATCAATTAAGGTATCGCAAGAAAAAAATTGATTACGGAAAAAGTTTGGGTTGAAAAATCGTTCGGGACGCATCATGAAAAGCGGCCAGACATTCGGACACAAACAATCACAATGAATATATTTAAATAAATACACTATAGACAACTAGTTAATCCTTTTATGCGATTTTATTTAATATTGTTCTCGGATTTTCTTCATACAAGTGTTTTCTTTTTCTTCTTTTCCTTTTTTCTCATAGAAATCTTGTGTGCTCAGATTTTATCGCGTTATACTAAAAAAGATTTCTCCATGTTCGAGGTTATGTATCTTCGCTATAACTTGAGCTATTGTTATGAAAATTTAGAATAATAACCATCTAGAATCGATCGACTATCTCTCCCATTTTGAACATTGTCTAATTTGTCATA